GTGTATGTGGGCGTGCATGTCCAATTTATGTTAAACATCCAATGTGCTGCACCAATGTATGTAATTGCCGAACCATATGTTAAAATATGTGGATGTATGGGCCAAAGGCCTTTCAAATCAATAAATCATTTTGAATCTTTGAATCTCTCTCTCTCTCTCTCTCTGTCTCTCTCTCTCTCACACACGAATCAAGGAAGAAAAAGGAGACAGTAGCAAGAAAGTTCATTGTAAAGCTATACCTGGACAAATCTCTTCTGCTTCGTCATCGGCTTCTTTGAACTTTTTGATGAGAGCCACGAAAGATACTCGGGGGTGTTTCTTCCTGAAGTCGTCCGACAACCGCTGAAAACATCAAGACGTTCAGAGACAACGTAATGGCAACTTTTATCTGACAGTTGTTAGAATAATGCTTTTTTAAGACAGTATAAACACATGACAATATTTTCTATATTTTGAAGTAAGGACAAAGTTGGAAGCGTCAACAAAGCAAGATAACTGGTATCAAATTATACGCATTAGAATTAGACAGAAGACTTCTTATGAAGCAAATCCCTATAAACAGTAAAGGCGTTTCAATGTTTAATTTCAGAAATTGAAGAAAGAAACGATCTATTGAGACGCTGCAAAAAAGCTGTGGAAAAAAGGATGTATTTTATACTTATAACAAAGTCGATAGAATTGGGTACTTCAAAACTAGTAGCTTAAATTATTACCTAAAGTCAGTATACTAGCTTGCAACGAACAAGTAAATTCAATCCTGATAATAAAATAAACAGTTCTTGCTCTATAAGTAAGAATCAACTTCAAAGGTCACTCTAAGCTAGTACTCTGCCTTCTATCTAATGTCTTGGAAGAGTTAAACGACTTAAATTTAGTTCATATTAAAAAACCATATCTTTTACTTCGATGATTCTTGTTGGACTTCAATGGAATGGCCTTGAGTACTTTTTATAAAGCAAATGCATATTTTTGTTCCATAAAATACTTCCCCAGAACTCCCCCCACCTTAAAAAAAAAAAAAACCCCCCCCCCCCCCCAAACCCCTCAAAGAAACAACAACAAAACCACACACCCGCACAAAAAAAAAAAAAAGTTATTAGAAAATTTTCTTTATCCCATTTCGTTGCGAAAGTTGCAGCTCATCAAGGTGCACTATGTTTAGAAAGCTAATTCTTGGAGAGTGAATTTTCCCTGCCATAGTTAAGACAACTACCTTTGTCTTTACGTCAACTTCCTCAAATTCATTTCCGACATCTGATTTTTTAAAATCTTTTGGATTAATCCCTGCTAAATACGCTGCATCTACGATACACAAACAGCGGAACAGTTTTGTAAAACGGCCAAAGAAGCTAAATGATATCAATAAGTCTGCATTATGTGTGTGTGTGTGTGTGTGTGTGTGTGTGTGTGTGTGTGTGTGTGTGTGTGAGAGAGAGGGGGGGAGAGGGAGAGAGTATCTACCATTACTTGGGCCTGAGTCTGTAAACTAAGCATCTACAGAATTCACCGAATAGTCAGACACACATAACGTGACCATGATATACGTAGTTAGTAAGACAACATAGAAACCAAGCAGGCAGACAGGCTCGACTGTAGTAAAATCTAGGAGAAAGACACACGCATACACAGAAACCCAGGCAAAAATTGTATAGAAAAGAAGAAAGAATGAGTTTGAGCCTGTCAGATCGAAGGCGTGCGTCTAATATACTGTGTGAACTAGAACATGGGTAAGCAAAAACAATTCATATAGATAGATAGATAGATAGATATATAGATAGATAGATAGATAGATAGATAGATAGATAGATAGATAGATAGATAGATAGACTGCTTGCTTGCTTGCTTTCTTCAAGCAAGTGTCGGTGACACGGGGATCAAATGGGTGGTCACTGGGGTGTGTCCTTGAGCAAGACACGACATCCCTAGCTCAAAAATACAGGGCGCTGCACAGTGGCGACCGACAGTGGCATTGTTTGTAAACTGTTCTGTATTTGTGTAATAGTGTGTATTTATGTATGTATTTATGCATGTATGTATTCATGTATGTACGTATTTATAATTATGTATTTTTGTATGTATGTTTGCCATTGTAAAACAAAGTGCCCTTCTGGGACAAATAAAAGTGTAATGTATATATTTATTATATATATCATATTGATTAATTGACTGATTGATTGATTGATTGATTGATTGATTGGTTGGTTGATTGGTTAGTTGATTGATAGAACGATCTATTGATTGATTGATTGATTGATTCGTTGGTTGGTTGATTGGTTGATTGATTGATTCCAGGCTCATGTATAGCCCTAGCGTATCGTAGAGCTCACCTCTGTATCGGGGCTGTCAAACTTGAGTCCCATCCTCTCCATGTGCTCCATGAGCTGCACCAGGCCCGTGGCCACGTTCTGCATGATCTGGTCATGGTACTTGCGCCGCTCCTCTGGCGGGAACTGGTCGCCATGGTGGAGACGAACCTGCTTCAGGAACGTACTCTTGCCCACCCCGGGCGGGCCTGGGTACCGGAAGAGGGGAAGTGGGTGGGCGGGTAGGGAAGGGGTAGGGGAAAGGGGTGGGGGGGGGGGGGATAAATTAAGGGATTAGAACGCGTAAAAAGTTTAAGAATGTGCTTCAAAAATTAAATTGTTGGAAGAGTTAATCAAAGAATGAGTTTGTGTGTGTGTGTGTGTGTGTGTGTGTGTGTGTGTGTGTGTGTGTGTGTGTGTGTGTGTGTGTGTGTGTGTGTGTGAGAGAGAGAGAGTGAGTGAGAGAGAGAGTGTGTGTGCGTGTGTGTGTGTGTGTGTGTGTGTGTATGTGTGTGTGTGTGTGTGTGTGAGAGAGAGAGAGAGAGAGAGAGAGAGAGAGAGGGAGAGAGAGAGAGAGAGAGAGAGAGAGAGAGAGAGAGAGAGAGAGAGAGAGAGAGAGAGAGAGAGCGGGTGAATGAATGACTGACTGAATGAATGAATGAATGCCTGAATGAATGATAATTTATATTATTATTACATTTTCCCAGCTTTTTTTTGGAGTTGACGAGTGATGTCAATTGAAACAATTGCGAACATTTTCTGACCAGATCTTGATTTCTAGAGCAAAACTGAACACTTATGTCCTGCTTGGACTATCGACAAGATTTTTTTTTTAGTAAGCGTGTCGTTAGTTCCCAACCAGAACACGAAGTCTTTTCAACAGAACAGCAAGAAGTCTTCTGTATGTCACGTAAGTCTTAGCCGTTTTATAGGTAATCGGCTATGATCAACTTTGTGCGATCTGTTCAATAACGTACTTAACCTATTCATAAAACAAATCTTATAACACCAGTCGTGATCTCACTGGTATGAATCCAGTTTTATCAAAATGATAGGCTTCTGTGGAAAGGGGAAGAAGATGTAAGTGCAACAGCATTTATCGGTGTTGACAGGTCGTAGAAGTACAGACCATGACTTTATTTGAATACTACCACTCTCCTGTGCAGGCAATTTCATGAGTCCCAGAACTGCTTTTATCCTTTGATAGAGTGGGCTTTGAGCGGGTGAACATCTCCCGCTGGTATGACCTTAGTGACTCTGAGTGGACAATAAGGCCCTTCGAGCCGCCACAAAGGAAGCTGCCATGATCCAGTTGGTCCGATATAATAACATTCACGCACTCTCATGTATCTCGTGCCAGTCCCCAGGGGGTCTATAGCTTGTTCACTTTCGTCCGACCGCGTTAAAAAATTCTAGCTCATTTATTAATTTACTAATGCCTACGAAACGTTGCATGACACTTCTGCAGGCCAGCGACCAAACAAAAGTTTCGCGAGCTATAACACACAGAAGTACAAATTTGTGTCTGGTTCTTCGAAGAAAGTGTAGTTTACTGACCTTGGTCAATTTCAGGATCGTTTTGCTCATATAAAAACGCATTTTTCAGAGCAAATTTAAGTATTTTTTAGGCGAAACCTTCGTAAAAAAATCTCGCAACTATCTGATTGTTTTTCACGATCATGCGAAATTAATGTTAAAGAAAAGTTCTAGACTTCAGATGAGACGACATAAAATACAGCCTGGAGACATAATAAACTGCCTAATACACACAACAAACAAATGTTACCAGAAGCAGGGAGGGACCTGCTAGGAAGAAGAAAATGATAAACTAAAGGCAGTTGTCAACTTGTTAAATCAAGTGGAGTAATGAATGGGAAGAATGTTGAAAACCACCACCAGGGACAATTAATGCAATCTGTTGGGAAAAGATAATTACTCGTATAATACGGACCAACACTTGGCAGTTGCCTGGAGAACATAATATAAAGAGTCTTGTCCATCCCCATCCCTTTGTTCTACCCACTGCCCACCGCCCACCCTCACATTTATACCTTACGTTCCAAGTTACTGCAGGATAAAGCAAAAGAAACAGATCTACACAGTTACGTTTAGTGGTGGGGGAAAACCTTGACGTATAGAAGTACTACTACTGTAAATTCGTTGCCCAACTTATTGTCTCATACTGTTAATATTTCCCCGACTATCGAATATAAAGTCTCTAGATTTTGCACAAAGACTTGTACCAATTTGTCTTAACAGATCAATATTTTTGTAAACACTTGTTTTGTTAGCTTTTCTAGAAAATTGTTTTATGATTACAAAAGTCCCAGTGGGTGGCTTCTTCAGATTTTTAAAAAGGTTTAAAGCTGAAACAATATCTCTTTAAAGGGAAAGTCCGTCATTTTTTTTTTCTAATCGCGACATTGTGCTTATTGAACTCATGTTTTGAGAACCTTAAAAGCAAAAAGAAAGTGTTGATTATGAAATTAGTTTCTTGTAACAAGTTTTGCCACCAACAGGTGTCATTGATGAGCTGTGACGTAGGTCATTTGAGTATTCAAAATGTGTTTGAGAAGCGGGCAGTGCTGCGAACAATCCCATTTTCCGCGTGACGAACATAATATAGTATTTTATGTAAATTTTTGAAAAAAAGATTTGGGTTATTTAAAAATTGTAGTCCCATTGTTTATGGGAAAACATTAATATAAGACAAACTGGTTGGTGCAAACTGTTGTGCAAAGTGTGGGTGACATTGATTCACCCGTTAATGGGATATTTGAAGATAAGTTGCGCCATGAATTTTTGACCGCACTATAGAAGTATTTTAAGGAATACTAGTTGGATACTATAATTTAAAAAAACAAAAAACGGCACTGAGTTGTTTAAATATCTATTTCTATACGGTCAACGGGTTTGCCTTCTAAATTGGAAAGCATTCTCCATTGTTCGCTTTCCCTCTCTCTTCACTCACTTTCGCATTAATAGTTCTGCAGAATAGAAAGCGGTCGGGGGGTGGGGGTGGGCAAGGGTGTTTAAACAAAGCCATCTGAAACAGAAAGAGATTGGGCAAATAATACTGACCAAGTATCAGCAGTTGGACTTCTCGCTCCCTACGTCCTCTCTCTTCGTCCAGCTGCTGGTCAATGCTCCTGCTCCGAGCGATGGCCGATCGACCGCCTTTACTCATTGTAGTCAGGGAGAAGGTCTGAAAAGACAAGCGGACGCGAGTCATAAAGTCTGGCCATGGAGGACTTGCTTGAAGCGAGGTGGGACAAAAGAAAGCTATGCTATAGGATGAGAAAGAGAGAAAGGGGGGGGGGGAGAGAGAGAGAGAGAGAGAGAGAGAGAGAGAGAGAGAGAGAGAGAGAGAGAGAGAGAGAGAGAGAGAGAGAGAGAGAGAGAGAGAGAGAGAGAGACAGGGGGAGGGGTGATAATGTAAGCAAACACAGGAGGGAAAGAGAGACAAAGAGACGAATAGGAAAAAGGAGATAGGGGGCGGGACTTGAGGCTGAAGGGGTCTTTGGTGTGTATGTGCGTGCGTGTGTGTGTGTGTGTGTGTGTGTGTGTGTGTGTGTGTGTGTGTGTGTGAGTGAGTGTGTGTGTGTATGTGCGTATGTTTGTGTGTGTGTACATGCGAGATAGATAGATAGATCGATCGATCGATAGATAGATAGATAGATTGATAGATAGATTGATAGATATTGTACTTGGACATAACTTTGACCATTAATGAGGCGCGTCGCCTTAACCCTGAGTGACATGCAGAATCCCAACAGAAAGTGGAAACATTGGATAAGATAGACAAGTCACGTTTTTTGTGAACAACAATGAACAACCTTAACTTTTCACTTCAGACGCCTGTATACCTTTTCCAAACCGATTGATATATGGGTGAGTAGCTGGTGAGTCTAGAAAAAGAGGACGAAGTGGTTGGGGTGAGGGGGAAGTCGAGAGGAAACATTGGTATGGAGATGAAGATTAAGAACTATTGTACTTTACCGTTTTCTGAGCTGGGGAATGCTAATATCGGAATTCTGAAAATAGTTTTCTCAGCTTACTTAGTCCTGATTTCTTTGATATTTACGGAACGCCTTTATCTCCATCTGTATGTTCATGGGCTTAGAGGGCAAGGCGTTCACATGTGAAAGAAAGTGAGCGACCACAGTTACTGAGAGTTTCCGGCTGACCGTCGTCGTTGTGACGCATGTTTCCTGCCCACGGTTTGCTCAGAATATTTCTCATAGGGAAATCCGGACGTGAAAGATGGGCGCACCTACATTTGTGTTACGATGTGGTAGAATCAGGCGCTCGTCAATTTTCGGGTAAATGGGATAGTTGGTATCATCTTAAAGCCTGTTCATTCGTCTTCCTTCTGGTGAAAAAAAATCCATCTTGGTTGAATAAAAGTCGATTATTTGCGATTGAAGGAGGTCAGGGTTGCCTTAGTCTCAGATGTAAAGTTAGCGAGATAATGGCCGCCAAAGTATGGTAACTTTCATAGTCTGAGAGTCTTTGGAAAATTAAAATTAAAAACTTTCCCATCGGGCAAAAAAGTGCTAAACTCTTTGATTTCATTATTTTGACGAGCGCCTGACTTCTCCACGATGCCTCACATTTGGTAAAAGGGTGGACTTCAATTCAAAATGGGTTCATGGACTCGGATTTGGCAAGTAAGAGAAATTTGAGTTGCAGACTCGGAGACTTATACAGAACACAGATATACTTAGCCTTGCATTCTGAGCGCCGCATGGAGCCACCTTTTCACGGTCAACATCCTACAGCTTGTCGTTACTCCGCCCTACACCGAGGTGGCTATTACGGACAAACATTGTTTTCCAGGACACTGAAGACAGTTGTTTTTTCATTTGCCTCTAAACCAATCAAAGAACTTCGAGAACTGTTTCCATACTTTTTTGACGAATATACATCTTCGCCTGAAGTAGAGTATGAAATTATATTGGAGGACGTCAAAATATTTTTTTAATCACTGGCGGTTTTCATTTTAGACCTGGCTCTCTCTTTGGCTCAAGATCTTGGTCCCTTATTGTACCCCATCCTATTCCACCCACTACTTAAGAACTCTATTACGTTCTTTGGCGTTTGGAACACAATTAGAATTTTCCATATGGTTGTGTAGAATAGTAACGGTGGACGGAAAGAAGAAAGACAGGGAGCAGGGACATGTTGCAGGAGCTGAAAGACAAAAGCAAATCAAGCAGTTACAATGTATGGCCTCAAGATTAGCCAATTACATGGCACAAACATTGGGATGCCCCCCCCCCCCACCCCCCGAAAACAAAAACAAAACAAAACAAGAAGTCCAAAGAAAAACAATATTTTAGAAAATAAAACCCACCATCCCCCCCCCCCCCCCCCCCCCCCCCCCCCACGGCCGCACCACCCGGCCAAATATTATTACACTGGAGTTGATGCTGTTCTTTTTTTTTTTTTTAGATCTTTGGATAGCGGGGAAACGACAAAATTGCAAAGGCGTCTGTTGTGGATGACAAAGAAGTGGAGTCTGATCGTTAGGATCGACAGGCAGAAAAAAAAAGAAACAACTGTGATTACAGTTGGAATGGATCGATAGAAGACAAGACAATTTCCCTTCCCAGTAATTTTCTAAGGAATAGCATAAATATTGGCGCGACAGGAACAGGATTGCTTGATTCCCGCCTCGAAAGTGTGAGAAAAAAAAACGAAACAATAATACAGATAGATCACGGAAAAATAAAACTGTAACGAAGTCAGCGTGATAAGATAACTCGTTTGTTTCTTTATTTCTATGTGATTTCTCACCCCCCATTTTCCTTCCACCGTTCTGTCTCTTTCTCTGTCTGTCTGTCTGTCTGTCTGCCTGTCTGTCTGTCTCTCACTTTCCCTCTCTCTCTCTCTCTCTCTCTCTCTATCTCTTTCTCTCTCTCTCTCTCTCTTTGAGTTACACGTCGCCCCCCATCTATGTATGTATGTATCTATCTATCTATCTATCTATCTATCTATCTATCTATCTATCTATCTATCTATCTATCTATCTATCCATCTATCTATCTATCTATCTATCTATCTATCTATCTATCTATCTATCTATCTATCTATCTATCTGCTAGCTTTAGCACACACACACGCACACACACACACACACACACACACACACACACACACACACACACACACACACACACACACGCAAACACTGACTCCTTTTACCTTTCTTCCTGCTCTTTAATCTTGTTTTGTCGTCTGCTTTAGTCTCCATTTTCTGCCCCCACCTCCCTCCTTTTGCCCCCCCCCCTCCTTTGAGCTGCCTTTCTACCGTTTCTCGGTGGCTCCTTCTTACTGCTGTATTTCAGCCACACCCCTGATTTGAGGGAAGGCAAGACCTCTAACTTTCTCGGATAAATGGGAAAAAAAATCCGTGAGGTCCCATGTGTGAGTTGCGCACGTTAAACATCACCTGGTGATCCTAAATCGATAAAAGTTCACCACGTCAATATGTGAAACTACTACTTCTCAATTGTCTAGAAGTTGAAATCTACTTCGATTTTTCAGCAACGAGCGTGTCTGAGAACAACAGATCTAGCTCTTGTCAACAAAAAAGAATGCTTATACTATAGTTAACATGACTATCGTGACAGAACCTTTAAGGTTGCCAAACAGTTACAAGCCAGTATAGCAAATGTAGACAGCTTTTCCTGCACATGAAGGAAGCAATGGTCTGATTGCTCGAGAACAATTTAGATAATAACAGTTGAGATTCGGTTTTTTTTTCTCTGTGTTATCTCTAGAACATTTTACATTGGCCTTTACAAGCTGTTAAAATATTTTCTGGTGATACATGTATTATGAAATGCACACGGATATGAATCTAGATTCGAAATCGTCTGGCAAAGAAGTTGAAGACTTTACCAGGGAAGCTGAGGGCAAGACATTATTATTATCTATATACTTGCCTCTATCTATCTATCTATCTATTTATCTATCTATCTATCTATCTATCTATCTATCTATCTATCTATCTATCTATCTATCTATCTATCTATCTATCTATCTATCTATCTATCTATCTATCGGGAGACTCTTGTGATTTAGAAGTTAAGGTGTTCGCCTCTCATTCAATGGTATAGATAGCGAGATAGACAGAGGCAGAGAGAGAGAGAGAGAGAGAGAGAGAGAGAGAGAGAGAGAGAGAGAGAGAGAGAGAGAGAGAAAGAGAGAGGAAGAAAGAGAGAGAGAGAGAGAGAGAGAGAGAGAGAGAGAGAGAGAGAAAGAGAGGAATGTATACATACACACACCAACAACAGCACAAAGGGCGAGGGGAAGAAGGAAGAACAGCGAGGGGGGGGGGGGGGGGCAATAATTGAGAGGTGGGTGAACACACTGCATGAAAAGGTCAAACAATGTCGAGCGAAAACGATGTTGATTGGATGGGCGGCAACTCCAACCTGACTTGAGTGAAACACCTTAGACCTGGATTTCCAACAACGTGTCGTGCTGAGGTGGGAGCTGAGTGCTTTGCATCGACAATCTGCATCGCGCTTGTAGATTATACAGTGGAGCCTCCTTAATACCGAACACAGTTAATCCGAAAACAGTAGTAAACCGAAAGTAAAATGTTCTTCTATTTGAGCAACTCGTCAAAACTGAAGACCCGGCTAAACCGAAAGAAAATTTCAGTTAACGCCAACTTCATTGCACATGTCGCTGACATATTTGAAGTTTAAAGAATTGTACCCAAGTGGGAAAATAGACTTATCATTTGCTGGCACAAAATCCAAACAACCGAAACAAATAACAGCAGCAGATTTTCATTTCAGGGTATTGTGATTTTGAGCTTTTGCGTATTTCCCGTCCCTTACAACATAGAAATATTAGCATATTGAAACCCAATTTGGCGTCCATCTCCGATCTAACTGAACTTAACGGTTGATAAACCATGAAGAGTCCTGAAAAAAGAAGTTAGTAATACAAGAAAGCCAATTTGAACCATTGTCCCTCCATAGCTGACTAGTTAGGTAATGACAAATAATGGCAGTACGATCTTTCTCTTTTTATATAATAAAGTTGGGTGTTTCACGCCCCCATCGATACAATTTTGAATATTTAGGAGGCAGGCTTTGATGTTGCATATCTGGGCCAACCCGGGCCGTTAGAGATATAACATCCTAGAAGAAAAACTGAGATACCCGAGAGGAGTCGGTAACCTAGTGATTAATCTACCGGACTCGTAGTCGTGAGACTGCCGGTTTGCGGGTTCGAGCCTCAGCTCGGTCCGACGTTGTGTCCTTGGGAAAGGCACTTTACAGGAATGTCCAACTTAGCTCGGTCATTTCGGAAATGGACGTTAAACTCGGAGGTCCGGCCTCTTAAATAAGCCAATGATGTTGATAAGGGCGTTAAACTAATATCATTTCACCATTTCGAGATACCCGAGAAAAAAAAAATCTACACCAAGTAATGGAACTCGGTTCTTCTGCGTGGGACGACAAAGCATCTATCTGAATACCACAAACGCTGGTAAAATAATTAATGTTCTTGTCATTGTTTTGTCTCAGTGTGGTCTAGTGTTTATGACAGTCGGGCTAACAGAGTAGTCGGGGAGGAAAACACAAGTTTCCCAGGTAGTTGGGAATGTTTTAGGATTATATTATGTTGAATATATAATTATTAAGATAGTCTGTCCTTCGTAAATGAAAAATCCTTTTGAAGACAACCCAGACTAGTACAATAATGTTATCTATAATCATGCCTCAAGTTAGTTTATCAACATTGTCAGGACTGGTATTTCTTTGGTTCCAAACAAGCACAAAAGACTTTCATTATCTACGGCAACATCACCTTTACAAAGCCCGTGGATGCAGGAAACTAAAAGCATGTTTCTCTGTATTGATCAGCTCTAAAAATATATAATTGAACTAAATTTCTAATACAGAATTTTCGTAAAATCCACTCACTAGATTATGCCATTATGTGTTTTGTATTGTAAAACCGTAGAGACATTCAAAGGACTAAAATAAATTATATTTTAAAAAAATAAATAAAAGAGACATCTTTCACATGAATGAGGCATGTATACAAAACGACAGACACCCCAAAAAAGTGAACATATTTTTAGCCACTTATTTCAAAACCTTTGGAAAATCTTTTAGAGTAGTTAAATGGATCGCATTCATACTCGTAGGTGAACATTTTTAGAAATAACTGCAGGTGCATTGCAGAAATGTTGAATGAGCCTGTCCAATTATTATTTCTGCTTTCGCTATTTTTAAAGTTTATTTGTTGTCTTTCAATCTAGTGACTTGTCTATTGTAATTGTTTACTATTCAGTGAGCTATCTGTTGAACCATCTTTCAATCAATCAAACAAACAATCAGTCAGTCAACGAAACAATCAATAACAAGTAGGTACTATTTATCTATCTACCATCCATTCTTCCATTTATCCTTCCACCCATCCACCGATATGTATCTATCTATGTATCTATCTATGTATCTATCTATGTATCTATCTATCTATCTATCTATCTATCTATCTATCTATCTATCTATCTATCTATATTTCCTTTCAGTACAATAGAACTTCGGCAATATTGATACTGCTAATGATAACGATGTTAATGAGATATCGTCGATGATAATCCAGATCCGTCGACAGCCTTTGTACCCCCCACCCTCGCCCGCCCTTTTAAAGCACACAGAAACACGTTGGGGGGGGGGGGAGCAATTACCTCCGCTAAAGATTGAAACATTGAAAAAAACAAATTCCACTTAGTTTGCTTTATCCATTGAATCTTCAAAAAAATATTCAGCAGTGTGTCGTGAAGCTTGACCGAGACTGATTTTGTCCATGAGATTCAGGGGCGAAGGCTGACTTGTTTAACAGGGTAATCAAAGTAAGATGGGACCAGACAGGGCGTGGAAATATCACACAAGAATCTTACTCGAGGCAGCAACACAGAGTAGTGAATGAAAACAAATCCTGAATTTATGCTGTATGCATAGTTCAACCGCAAAAATAGTCGGGAAGGTATCTCATTAAATATTTATTCCAACAAACTTTAAATCTATCTTTAGATGTGACTACACAAACACAAAGCAAAGAAGCAGAGATGTCAGTACTAATTGTACTATACATCATTTTTTTTTGTAACACCAGTGAGTCTAAACTCTTTGGTAGAACCTGACAATTATTAATATTTTATTTCACATTTGGCTGTTTTTGTCTAGCGTTTCGCAGCCAGGAGCCATTGTCATAAGTCGAGGAAAAAAACAAGAACTCGCAGCAGTCAAGATATTATTAGGAGTTAGTTCCCCTCACATCTGTGAGGTAGACTCGACCAGTGTACTAGTTAGCTTACATAATCAGCGCTTGTGACTGCAGTTATAACTGTGGCCCGAAAGGGGTGAACAGGGTATAGGTGGCAATTGAACAGCTTTGAGTTCTGTATACATGTTCCCTTCAACTCTTTTGGTAGACTCTTCCAGCCTCACTTTAAGCTTTCTTAATCCAAGCTTGCGACTGCTAACGGAGTGGCCCAATAGGGGTGAACAGGCTATTTCTTTGGCAATGAAACAGTTTTGAATGTTAGGCACACTGTTCGTTGGTGATTATGAACGCCTTTTTACATTTAATTTATGAAGTTTACGTCTATGGATGAATTTGACTGCGACAATGTTTCAAAATTAGGAAGGGAAGCAGTGATTATTTGATTATATAGACGCTTCACCACTGAGAGTTTTTCGTAAGATTGTTTTAGTTTTGCTTCCTGTAGATCTATTCCAAATGCTGTACTGCGACCAGGCGATGATCTACCGGTGAAGAAGGTGGGTGCACATCCGAAAACACGCGCGCTCTGTACCTTCTCGAGCTCTCCTACTCCCCTCTGCCCCTTTTCGTACATGACCCTGTCCCAACTTTCTCAATCACCTCCTACCGTCTACCTCTCGTTGAGCCGCTTTTGATGATCTAGGTCTTTCGTAGCCGGGCTATAAGGCGGCACTCCATATGGAGCAGATATGGAGAGAAACGCAACGCAAAGGACAATGACGAAAGAGAATAGAGAACGCCCCCCCCCAAAAAAAAACAACCAAAAAAAAAAAAACAACCAAAATCAAAACAACAACAACAACAAAACAACAAACAAACAAGCAAAAAAACAAAAAGAAAAGCAACAAACAACCAACAACAAAAAACCGCACTCACACACGCCAAAAGCAAGAAACAAAAACAAAAAACGAAAGAATTGCCCCCCCCCCCCCTTTCCCCAAAACGAAAAAAAAAAAACAACGAAAAAGTGCAACAGAACCCATGGTTTTTATCTTTGACAAGACAGCGTACGGCCGTACAGGCTCTGAAATTGGACAGCGATGATACAGAGCGCGGGGTAACAGTGGCGACAGGTACTGGGAAGGGATGAGTTACTATGGGACAAAGAACGAAAGAAGGAAGAAAGAAAGAAAGAAAGAAAGAAAGAAAGAAAGAAAGAAACAGACAGACAGACAGACAGACAGACAGACAGACAGACAGACAGACAGACAGACAGGTTGAGGTTGGCAGAGAGGGGTATTTGAGGAGAAGACTAAGGTTGGACAAAGCAGGGAAATAAACTGGGAATACAAAAAAACCCAACATGGAAGCAACCCTGAGTTTACAAACATACGAAAAGAATCAAAGAAATTGTTTATCATAAACAACCAAGCTGAAAAGTAGACATAGTAAGAAGCATATCTAGGTTATCTGGCTAAACAATTAAAATGAAATAGAACTGCAGATTCTTTCACAAATTTAACTATTCTATTATTATCCCTTTGTCAGATTTTAATCATTTCTAATTTAGGAGCTTTAGCAAGGGGGAAAAACAACTATCAAACGGTAATGGTAAGCGCGTGCGCGGAGGGGGGGGGGGGGTTGCATGTATATCTTTTCAGTTGCCACTCAATTATTTTTCTCACTGTTTGGAGCGTTGTTCTAGTCTTGTCAAAATATATCGGAACTCTCCTCCACCCCCCTCCCCCCACCTCCCCCCACCTCCCCACGTCCCCCTGCCTGCCCCAATTGCCATTCCACGCACTCGGACGGACGATTACAGTAGTTTTGCGGTACATTTTATTGCAGAATGTGTTCTATCTTCATTGCGAGATCACTGCTTTTATTCTTCACTAGGAATTCCAAGTACGGAAATAAAATAATGTGTCGCTTCGGGTTCAGGATCAATAATACGCTTCCTTTTACGAAAAGTCACAGTGACGTATGCAAGTAAATATCACTAATTTAAAAGGACACAAACCTTATTTTTGTTTCTGAGCATGTCACCGACCACTATTTAGAGCACCGGGGCGAACAAAAGAATGGTAGAATGGTAGATTTCCGAATTTCCGCTGCTTCTAAAGACAACCTTACAGCCTTCAGTTCACATTGAGAGAAAACTTTGTTGAAAGTGTCACAGTGTCATTGAGACAAATTGACTGTTTGCTTATTCGACTTCAAACAGTCATTTAATCTTCCGCATCAATCCTCTTTACTCACTTGGCAACGATACTTGTTTACGCACTGGTCATCCTACTTTGGTTTTTGGCAAGTAGGTTGGCTATAAAAGTATGTAGTGTGCACACAAAAGCTGTCTGTGCTCGTGAGAATTCCCACTTCCGCGAGGGCCAAGTATTGGCTTCCGCCTTTGCTTCCTGTCGTAGTACGGTCTCTGTCACGACACGATAGAATCAGGCGCTCATCAGTTTTGGAGCAAATTTGTGTAAACATGAAGCCTGCTCATTTGCGTTGGTTTTGAAAACAAAAAGTACCCACCCACCGTGAATAGAAGTTGAAATATTTGCGATTGAAGGAAGTTGGTGCCACCTGATGTCAAAAACAACATTAGCGAGAAAATTGACGCCAAAGTTTGGTGACTTCCAAAGCTTGAGAGTCCTTGCAAACTGCATGATTATGGGGGAGGGGAGGGGGTTGCCTTTTACCAACGATTTTTTGTGTTTTTTTAAACATCTGCGCAGAAATGTGTTTTTTTATGGACTTAAAAGGTGTTGATCCCGAAAAACAACAACAACTGAAATTTCCCAAAGAGCACAAAATGTCTATTTATTAATTTGATTTCCTTATTTAGACGAGCGCCTCATTTCCCCCCGATGCCAAACATTTGTACTCGCATGCGTGAGCTTATTTATGCGTCTATGCAGACAAACATTGTTTTCAGCACAGATAAAGTCAAGGAAACGATTGAGGAGGCACTCAAGCGTAAGTGAATATTACAAATGATCAAAGCTGTATCTGTATTTCACTTCGGTACGTAGCATGCGGAAATGATAACGGCTTAATTAAGGTTGGGCAAGAAAGTGTCCGTGTCCTCATAATTTTAGTTACGTGTAATATAAGTGCATAGTCAGCGCTTTTTACGAATGTCACAAAGCCTTCATCAGTCAAGAGCGACTGCGAGTTTGTGTATGTCTGTGTTTGTGTGTGTGTGTGTATGTGTGTGTGTGTGTGTGTGTGTGTGTGTGTGTGTGTGCGCGCGCATGTGTGTGTGTGTGTGGTTTTTGTGTGTGCGTGCGTGAGTGCGTGTGTGTGTGTGTGTGTGTGTGTGTGTGTGTGTGTGTGTGTGTGTCTGTCGGTCTGTCTGCCTGTATTTACATGAGTGTGTGAGTGTGTGCGGGTGTGGGGGTGGCGATGGGTTTGCTTGTGTGAACCGTGTGGTTGTGGTTGCTTGTCTGCAGTACGTGTTTTTTTTTTCAAGAAGATAGAGGGTGGAAAAGGCAGATGTACCGTGAGCTGAATCGATATTTATGGGAGTAGATAGGAGAAAGAAGGGTAGAGACAGGTTAGAGATATAAGTTGGTCCTGAATTAGGCACATCTGCTAATAAACCAGAGTGACGTCTATCCCCGTCGGTACTTATTGGTTGAAACCATAGATCGTATACAACATACGTCACTCCCGCAAAAACGTCCTTCATAATTTACAAGCTGTAATATTATAGCACACCGGGACGACATTTTTGTTTTTCAATTCCTTACTTTGAAGGGATATATGCAAAACTCAACGTGCTTTATCTTCGTTCATTGGGAAATCCACTGACTATAATTAAGGGCTGCGGGCCAGATTTTGGGGAAACGTTTTTTTCATATATCACATAAGATGATGTCAAAAATGAGGAAAAATATCGTGTCCTGTGCGATGTTCTCTTTCACCCCCCCCCCTTTCTCTCTCTCTCTCTCTCTCTCTCTCTCTCTCTCTCTCTCTCTCTCTCTCTCCGTCCCTCTCTCTATCTCTCTGTCTCTTTCTCTCTCTCTTTCTTTCTATCTCTCTCTCCCTCTCCCCCCTCTCTCTCTCTCTCTTTCTTTCTCTCTCTCAGACGCGACGCCTTGCTTGATCTTGCGTTACTCACATGTATTTAAATCGATTTCCTTGCTTGATCTTGCGTTACTCACATGTATTTAAATCGATTTATCTTTTCTTGTCAGTGTTGTTTGTGCGGTGTACGCAGTGGCGTCTTCTTCAAAAAACTTTCCCCATGCAGTATTATACAAAAAAAAGCTAATACACCGCTTGGCGCGAATCTTGTAAACATTACCCGTTTTGTCACAGTCTTAAAAGGATCCCCGTTCTGTTACAATGGTGATCAATAGTTGTAGTGTAGGGAGGGTTCTACTTGTCATCTCCAGATACATGTGTAGTTACCATACAGGGAATGACAGCTCTGTTGTGCTCTCAGCTGCAAGAGGCAAGTTGATGTGAACATTTCGGACTATCAGAAGCAACCACAAAGAAGGGGGGTAAATCATGCCGTTGACTGGTAATTTGTTCATATTGTGAACGTGCCCCTTCTTCTTCTTTGTTTTGTTCTGTCCTCCTCCTCCTCCTCCTCCTCTTCCTCCTCCTGCTCCTCCTACTCCTCCTCCTACTACTCTTCCTCCTCCTCCTCCTCCTCCTCCTCTTCCTCCTCCCCCTCTTCATCCTCCTCCTCTTCCTCCTCCCTCCTCTTCATCCTCCTCCTCTTCCTCCTCCTCCTCCTCCTCCTCCTCCTCCTCCTCCTCCTCCTCCTCCTCCTCCTCCTCCTCCTCCTCCTTATACTCTTCATACGCTTCATACTTTTCTTCTTTTCTTCTTCTTTTTCTTCCCAACTCACCTATTGCCACGTTTTGACACATCAACAATAAGGTTTCCCATCTGAAATCAAGCTGAGCGGTCAATCCATCAACCTCCACGGTTACCCATACCTCATTTCATTTTCTTTCTTCAATAAAAACGTTTTCTGAGTTGGGCGTCAATTCGAAGCACGAAGCTTGCTACGTCACGTCAATTCGGCCTCCAGACAGCGGGCGTGACATGGGAATCAATGTTAACTCTTTAACGACCGTCACACAAATAACCAACACCATTTAGTGTGACTTAATTTATTATTTAAAGGTTATTTTCTTGACACACAATCAAATGGCGACAGACGGGAAACTTTCAATTAAAGAATATACGGTTACATTGAATGGAGTTTATCTTAAAATGATGCAATTTTAAAGCTATGAATACCAACTAAATTTATTTTGACAGTTTCCTACGTCTTACTTCATTGTTTTCACGAAAGCGCGTATTATTGCACGCAGATATATGAACCAATGAAATTACAAAAATTTCAGTTTTCACAAAGAAGACATTAATCAAATGTGTCTATTTTTTCATCTTTAAAAAGAACTTCCTACAGCTTTTGTGTTGACTGTCTTTGCTTAAGACGCCACGAAAGGTTACACAAAATACAGGTGCACTGTATAACTGCATCTATAAAGCAAACCATTTCGTTCTCGAAAAGACCTTACGTAGAAAGCGAGAAAAAATTGGACCCAACTCCAATTGGCACCTCGTGTGTCCAAGTGTTGGTCAACTATACTTATTAAAATGTTACGAAATATATTAGTTGAAAAGGCCGTGCGAAGACAGTCTCAAGGAAAAACCAAAGAATGACACAACACATCCACCGTATACCGAACGATTAAACCTGGGAAGAAAAGGGTTAAACCGGTGTCTTTGAGCCTCTGACTCCACGTTAGCACCAGTGCCAGGAATCGACTCACGCACGCTACGACAAGAGCAGCCTCGAGGACTGTCAATAAAAACGTGGTTACAATATTAAGAAATATCGACAAAGAACTTTTATAAGCTTCAGGTTGTCATTTATCTCTCTCTCTCTCTCTCTCTCTCTCTCTCTCTCTCTCTCTCTCTCTCTCTCTCTCTCTCTCTCTCTCTCTCCGTCCCTCTCTCTATCTCTCTGTCTCTTTCTCTCTCTCTTTCTTTCTATCTCTCTCTCCCTCTCCCCCCTCTCTCTCTCTCTCTTTCTTTCTCTCTCTCAGACGCGACGCCTTGCTTGATCTTGCGTTACTCACATGTATTTAAATCGATTTATCTTTTCTTGTCAGTGTTGTTTGTGCGGTGTACGCAGTGGCGTCTTCTTCAAAAAACTTTCCCCATGCAGTATTATACAAAAAAAAGCTAATACACCGCTTGGCGCGAATCTTGTAAACATTACCCGTTTTGTCACAGTCTTAAAAGGATCCCCGTTCTGTTACAATGGTGATCAATAGTTGTAGTGTAGGGAGGGTTCTACTTGTCATCTCCAGATACATGTGTAGTTACCATACAGGGAATGACAGCTCTGTTGTGCTCTCAGCTGCAAGAGGCAAGTTGATGTGAACATTTCGGACTATCAGAAGCAACCACAAAGAAGGGGGGTAAATCATGCCGTTGACTGGTAATTTGTTCATATTGTGAACGTGCCCCTTCTTCTTCTTTGTTTTGTTCTGTCCTCCTCCTCCTCCTCCTCCTCTTCCTCCTCCTGCTCCTCCTACTCCTCCTCCTACTACTCTTCCTCCTCCTCCTCCTCCTCCTCCTCTTCCTCCTCCCCCTCTTCCTCCTCCTCCTCTTCCTCCTCCTCCTCTTCTTCCTCCTCCTCTTCCTCCTCCTCCTCCTCCTCCTCCTCCTCCTCCTCCTCCTCCTCCTCCTCCTCCTCCTCCTCCTCCTCCTTATACTCTTCATACGCTTCATACTTTTCTTCTTTTCTTCTTCTTTTTCTTCCCAACTCACCTATTGCCACGTTTTGACACATCAACAATAAGGTTTCCCATCTGAAATCAAGCTGAGCGGTCAATCCATCAACCTCCACGGTTACCCATACCTCATTTCATTTTCTTTCTTCAATAAAAACGTTTTCTGAGTTGGGCGTCAATTCGAAGCACGAAGCTTGCTACGTCACGTCAATTCGGCCTCCAGACAGCGGGCGTGACATGGGAATCAATGTTAACTCTTTAACGACCGTCACACAAATAACCAACACCATTTAGTGTGACTTAATTTATTATTTAAAGGTTATTTTCTTGACACACAATCAAATGGCGACAGACGGGAAACTTTCAATTAAAGAATATACGGTTACATTGAATGGAGTTTATCTTAAAATGATGCAATTTTAAAGCCATGAATACCAACTAAATTTATTTTGACAGTTTCCTACGTCTTACTTCATTGTT